GAAAACATCCTGAAGGATGGCCCTGCCTGTCAGAACTGTCTTATCTATCACTCTAATCTGCTGTATTTATGTTTTTCCTCTGTGTTGGCTCGTCACTCTGTGTGGCATAGTGATTAGAGTAGCTGCAGGATATAGGGCAGCCGTGTGAATACATTTCCTCCTCTCCCACACTGATTTAGACACCCAGTTGGAGTTGAAGTGACGGATAGGATCATTAAGCTGATCTGAGAGGAAGAGTCAGGATATTTGATTGTAGAATATCAGTGCAAGTGGTACATGATGGAGAGCTCAAATATTAAAATCTCAAGAGTCCTTTCATTTTATCAGAAGACAAAATCATATTTTTTCTTTCCCAGAAAATCCTTTGACTATATACATCTAATTGAGAAAATGTCATATTACTCATTTCCTCCCCCCACTGCTACAGCTCTGTTCCATTTTATAGAGATAAATGTTGTAAGATGTGTGTATGATACAGATATTTTTTTTAGTACAGCTCAGCATTGAATGTGTCCCTTGTGTGTTTTTTTTATCTCCCCTGACCCCAGCTTTACCTCTGACTAAATTTCCATTACAACAGCATATAATTCACCAAAAAATTGAATTGTCAGTACTCCTCCGGAGGTGAAAGACACAAGAAATCATTTCAAATCAGGGACTTTATTCACACTGTCAAAGTGGCCCTGCACATCTCCATGAAAACTCAATTAAGACCCACAATCACGATAGCGATGTCTGCCACCACATACCTTACATGCTCCCGCTTCTCTTCTCAGTGACACATTGGGAGAGGTCATTTACTGTAACCGTGAGGAGGCTCACGATCACATTTCTCAAGAGTGCCTGATTTAGAGGAAAGGGGGGATGGGTGACAACGGACAACCCTGGCCTTTCCCTCGGGAGCTGTGTCAAAACATGATGCCCGGTAACGCAGTCAGAGCTTCTGAAATGGCCTTCAGCTTCACTTCAGCCAGACAAATGTGGCAGACTGAGAGAGGTGTCTTGAAGAAGATGGTATTTGGCTGCAAAATGAAGTCCTCCTCACAATCCCTGTAGATAATGGACCTTTTTGGTCATGGAGCGGGCCCCTCAGGGCCATTCGGAGCACTCACAGGGTGCACCCAAACGGGTACTAGAGGAGGATTTAGCCTTCTTTCAGAGATGGAGTAGAGGCTTAGATGTCATGGAGCATACAGTCTGATCCATATGTCTGGTTGGAAGCAATTGTGGACAGTATTTGAAAGTATTGGATGCTATTGTTAGCCCAGGAAGATTTATCTTTTTTGACATCGACAGTTTGTTGTTGCCAACAGTGTTAATGCACATTAGAATCTGTTCTTGTGGAGCAGTGCTTTGCTTTTCACCATTGGAGTCTCTAGGCAGGTTTAAATGTTGATGTTGGAAAGCCCCAAGCTATCTTTTTTCTCGAGCATGGCTTCTACCTACTAAACTAACCCCGGATGCCGGCTAAAAATAGAGCCTTTGTGAGCACAGCTTTAGCAGAGGGGAAACAAGATGTGGCTACTCATCAGTGAATTGAAAAACAAGTGGAGCAGACAAGTGTCTTTGCCCTGCCGATGGGAACTAAAACATAGAAGGCCACAGAGGATAAAGTAAGCCATGATTGCGCCAGGTAAAGACAATGCAGGCAGGGTGCGAGGCCACAGAGAATCCCTTATGAAGTGGCCTACCTCTTGCCTCCAGCTGAGCCTTTCATTGTGCTGTTGTTTCTAGGGGGCTTGGATGGCAGTTTAGATTAGATCGCACAGAGTAATGGATTGAAGCTGACGAAAACCTGCTGCAGCTCGACATCACCACAGTTAGGATCCATGCACTGCTGTGAATCTTGCTGCTTTATTCAGATCATTTTCAGTTGCCCTCATTGTTAATAACCCTGTATATATATTCATGCTAACATTGTTCTCCTCTAATCTGTATTCATGCGAGTATTTCATTCAATCCCTTTGCAAAGCCGGCCCTAAATCCTTGCCAATCACATTTTGCTACTTCATAATTCTCCAATTTAATATGCCATGAATTACTTTTCAGTCTCTCCCCCCAAAACTGAGTGCTTCACTAGCCTGGTTATATTGTTGTTAGATTTTATTTTGCATTTAAATGTAGAAATTTCAGTTTCTCTATTATTTGTTCTATAAAATACTGTATGAATAGAGGTCCAGCCTTTGCAAATTCAATCCAAGATAATCAATTACTAAAAGTTGGCAGGATAAAAAAAGAAATCTTACAGCTTTATCAGACTGTATAGGTACTCAAGCAAAGCGTGATAATTTGGATGTTTATCCTTAAGATAGGTTTTGATTAAAACTACAGAGGTGAGCGTGGATTTGGATAAATGTGGGAGTAAGTGGAATGAATAAAACATGGCTTTTCAAAAGGCTGTTCAGTGAAGAGAGAGAGAAAAAAAACTGTTAAGTAACTGAAACCTGCTGTGTGGCCATTGTGGGGGATGATGTGTTAATCGAGCCACAAACTGTGTGGTTTTTCAGGCCAGAGGTCTCATTTAAACAGGCCCAGAAAAAGAGAAATGTATTTGAGCTGGTCCCCACTGGCTGCTAGCCCTTGACTCCATTGCAGTAATGTAAATGCTGGATTAGGAGCCATTGGCTGGGGACCCCCTCAACCCCTCTCCAGCCACTGCCCCCTCCTCTTCGTTTCCACTAAGACAGCTGGTATCTTTCAAAGGGTCCCGGCCCCGTGATTGATGTGTAATAGTTCCAAGCCTCACCTGCCCCCTCGCAGCGTTTTTCATCGGCCAGGCAGCGAGCGCTTTCTACTAAGCACTTTGTTTCCCATGATGTGGGTGGAAAACCTTCTCCCTTGCTTTTTAGTCACTGTCTTCACTTTCTCTGTCTGCTTCTCTTCCCTCTCAGCCATCAATACATTATGACTTCTCATTGCCACAGTGTTACTGCTTCACTTCAAACTGACACACAGTGTTTTACACAGTCAATTTGCTCAACTTCAAATGGCTACTGATGTACTACAAATTAGCTGTAGACGCCTGAACATATTGTTAATTGAACAGTTAAAGTGTTAACACAATCAAACATGACCATGATGTTGGTCAGGATCATTTTTTGGTTGCTTTTAAGGTTAGTATATCCAGTTATGTTAACGTCAGCAGGGTAATTGGAGAATCAAAATTTGGACTGAGGCAGTTATGTTAAGTGTATCCAGATGTAAACTAATAGCACCTAGATTGTAAAGGTACTTATGGAGGCTGGTAGCCGCCCACAACATCAAAGAATGGACCAGACCTCCATTTTCAACAGTTCAGAGTCCTCCTTGGTTTCATTGGAAGAGGCTTATGTTCCTGATTAGAGGAGAGAAGAGGTGCTTAGCTCATACACAGATTCTGGCGTGCCCCCTGGGATTAGAGCTGTACTATCAAATATTACCTTTATCAATGTTTTTATGTTCCTCACACTTCCAATACACACTGCTAAGTGGAGGGTAGTCGTTTTATTTGCCACCCCAATATAGGCGTGTATCCTGGGTGGGTGTCTGCACATGCGTGTGAGAGCTCTCTTCAGCCCTCGCGTCCTCTCTCTGCGCTAATGTGTTCTTGTGTGTATCCGCTGGCAGCCCAGTGGTCTCCGTGGTAACTCATCATTAGGTGATTAATGGGGCTGTGACGAGGCTGCGGTTTAATCAGGCCCGGTGTTTGTGTTGAAGCCGACGACAAGAGCAGCTGCCCTGTCAGTTGGTGTCTGCTCACGAGATGACAGCACCCGCTGCTGAGGAGCGCCTTTGTCAAACGTGCTTCATTGTCTGTGTGTGTGCTTGTGTGTGCCTGTCAAAAGCTTTTCATACACCTTCCTCTTCTATTCTTAACCTCACACTCTCTACCTGGATCCCTCTCTATCCCTTCCTCTCCCATCCAGCTATCACGACCACAGTAACACGTAGGCTGATTGCTTGGGCTGATTGCCTGGTCTGATCCCTCTGCAGGACTGAAATAACTATTTCTACTTAATTTGTTGCGGTGGAGGGGGGAGGCAAACAGTGTCAGCAAATGAGACACTCCTTTGTAGGCACAGTGTGTAGGGGCAGCGTAGAGCACACAGCGGGCTGCTTCAGCTTTGCCCACTTCACTGTTTATGGAGGATTTCATTATGGCATGAGTGAGTGGTAGCTGAGCTATTCTGAGTGAACGACGATAGCTGAAAATGGCAGTGGACCGGCAACAGCAAATGACTGGCTCAGTTTCTCTTCCCCTTCTTTCCTTACCCAGTGGATTTCTGTGTTCTTCCCTCCAGAGCTGTCATTTCACATTAACACAGTGGTGACTGTCAGCCAGGGCAGAGGGCTGAGGTTGGGTGCAGTCCAGTAAGCCAGAGTACACATACATAACCACACACAGACACACACACACAGATGAGTAAAACTGAGCCTGGTGTCATCACAGATGGTTTGCACAGAAGCTAGCCAGTTACCTCCGTTATTGAGCTTTGTGCTGTGTCTCTTCCCATCACACTGCAAACGACAAGCACTGTCCTCTGCTGAAAAAATCTTGACACATTATCTCTGAGGAATTCAACAGGCTCAATGCATCACTGCCCCTTTATGTTTAGTAAAAACTTCCTTTTAGGATATTGTGTTTCATTGTAAACTGTACATGTAGCAGTTGTCTTTCTACTTTTCTCACTTTTCATTTTTTTTTCCATTAATAACTCTGTTTTACCGCCTTTCTGAAAGAATGGAAATGTGTGAGCAGGAAGCTAGAAGGTTCTGTTCTTTGATAAAGCTACTCAGTGCTCTCCAGAGTATACATGGTTGTGGAGGGGAGTGCCTACAATTGCTGTGATGATGAGAGGAGTCAGCACAGCTGCCTGATCTCTTGGAACTTATCTTGTATTTGTCACCCACAAAAGATCTCGTCCAGCATAATCCTTTTTTACTCAATGTAGTATCTTTACAGAAAGGATAATTGTTATTGACACAGGCTTATGCTAATTCTCCTTTTCTTTTATCCGCAGCTTTTCTGAAACACTGGGGTTGTTGGTGTGGCCAAATTTTCCCTGGATTTGATTGGTAAATTCAGAAGACTGAAGCCCAGGCTCACAGTCTACCTTTCACGGAGGCCCAGCCGTGAGAGGACTGAGGAAGGCACGTGGCGGATCATGACGGCCGACAAAGAGAAGGAGAGGGAGAAAGAGCGGGACAGAGACAGAGACAGGGACCGGGATAAGAGAGAGGCTGGCAAGTCCCGCCGGCAGGACGGGGACCGAGGAGACCGTGAAAGTGAGAGCTCCAGGCCCCGACGCAGTTGCACGCTGGAGGGCGGGGCCAAGAACTATGCAGAGAGCGAACACAGCGAAGATGACGACAACGGCAGCACGGGCGGAGGCACAGCTGAGGAGGCCGGCAAAAAGGGCAAGAAGAAGACGCCCAAGAAGAAGTCACGCTACGAGCGTACAGAGAACGGGGAAATAACATCCTTCATCACAGAAGACGATGTTGTTTACAGACCTGGAGGTAAGTCGGAGTCATGGCTGATCTAATTTTGTCAACAGGTTAGCTACACTTATTTGCATGGCCACTAACTGCAGGGAAAGTAAGTAAATAATTTTTTAATTGTAGGCCCAACTTATAAACATCACATTCACTCCTTTCCATCCACTGTTTTCAATAAGCTTGTTTCAGAAATGAGAAGACAAATGATAATTGATTTCTAAGTGATTACAATAGGCAATCGTTTAGTCTGCCATAGGATTGCACATTATCCAAAGTAGCAACTTTACCAGCAGTATTATCTCCAGCTGGAGGCCAATGCATCATACAATCAAATACAATGTTGACCCACTCTGTTCTTTGTCTTGGGCTGTGTCAATAAAAGTCAAAGTAGATGACGTGATAGTGACGACAGCTGTGATAATGCTTTTCATTCCGACCATCATTTGACTCACTGAAACTGTGCTGGGGCCACAAGGTACTCTAGTTTTCCTTGAGAGATGTTTGAGCTGCGGTAAAATGTCTTTATTACATTTGTTGAATGAAGCTAAAAAGAGAACCAACCTTTTCTGCAGCTGTAAACATGGCCCGTCTATCACCTATTGTTTAGAAATTGGCTGTATTAGAGTGGGGAATGTCAACGATAGGAAGCCAGGCTCACTGGTTGTGTATATAGTCTGCTCTCTATCTCACTTTCTCCCCTTCTCCCGCCTCACCGTGCTCTGTGCCTCGCAACTAAATCATTGCCGCCACGTCTTTTCATTTATGTAGCAGCTAGCAAAAGGTCAGGTGGAGAATAAGAGGGGGGGCATATTGTTTGGATATTTAACGGGAAGAGCGGAAATTACAGCCAGCGTGTTAGGTTAGGTTTCTTCTCCTCCAGCTCTACTCACACACGCATCCACACAAACACTCCTTTATTCTCCTCATCTACTAAACAGATGACCTAAAGTAGGTGCAGTGAAGTAGTTAGACATCCCCACGATATGTTTTCTGTCTAGGCGTGTTATCTGGTTGGCTGAATTATCTCTGCGCTGGTATCAGTGGAGGTCCTCAAGCAAGCAGTCACTGTGAACCAAAGCCTTGTTGTTGCTCACTCTCTATTTCTGTCCGTGTAATGCTCTGCAACGGACTCCATTGAAGACTCCACATTTCATGTTTAATAGAGAGAGAGCACAGCCGCTTTGTCTCATAGTCAATCATGCAGAGACAAGAGGGGGGGCTGGAGAGGGAGAGAGGTAAAAACATCGGAAGCAGTCAGTCACATCAATGAAACATTCAAAAGGCATATAAACAAAGTCGACTGTCTCAGTGGATTAGCTCTGCAGAATATTTATATTTCTGCATTCGAGCAAACGGCAGAGCCAGTGTCTGATTGATGGGGAATATTTACGTTTCCTGTCTTCTCGTTCAATTAGCTTGACAGGTCTAGAGTGGCCCGAGTGTCACAGCCTGCTCCCACTGTGTATACCAGAGCTGTTACATCGGTTTAGAGAAGGATGAGCCAGGACTAGAGCACTGGTACGCTAGTTTGTAATTTACCTCCTGTTGTCAAAATGGAAGATCCTCCACCTCAGCGACAGACCTCCTGCTGTGTCTTCTGTTTATTGTTCAAGTGATAAGCTGTGTGTATGTGTGCGTGCGAGTGTGTGTGCAGAGTGTGTTTTTCCTCCTCCCGCTTGTTCATTGGTAGCAACCATCTTGCAATCAGATTTGATGTGTGCAGCTTAGGCAGACACAAAGCCTGCAATGGATTATGCTTTACTAAATGTTAAATCCCTTTATAGCCGTCTAGTGACACACAATATGTAAAACTGACCACCCTCGGTGAGGGATTTATAGCGCCCCAGACATGGAGAGAGGGAAGAAGTTGTGACAGAAAATACTGGACGAACCATAACAAATAGTGAAACAGAATACTGTTGTGATTGCTTTTGTCACAGGGAGCTTTAGTAACATACAGGTCCATGTCATCACATAATAAATAAGTAATATACGATAGAAACTGTCTGCAATCTCTAGCCACCCACCAATCTCAATGCTTAACCTTTATATCCCTCGAAGATGGGTTCAGGAAGCTTGCTGCATATCGATTGGTGGGGAAAGGTAGAAGGAGGAGTGCAATCTGCCAATAGGTGGGCCTGCAGCTAACTCTGGCTCTGCTGCTCTTAAAAAAGGATGAAGGAGTGTGTCTGTGTCTGTACTGTTGGCCAGGGGACTGTACACCGGGCCATTTGTATGGTCTGCTGCTAGGTTGAACAGACTGACGCAGTGCAAGAAGCAGACATGCCAAATAGATCTGTGCCCTGTGGCTGAGCTCTCACCTCTTCCCTAGGCCCAGCCAGACTCCTCCAGAGCCTACACACACGCAAGCCCCCAACCTCCCAGATTATAGATTCTACACATTGCTACAGGGTGGTCAATAGGAGACACCCTTAAAGCACGGAGACACAAAAAACTCACTCACTTTAGTACACACACACGCATACATTTTTGATAACCAGTCCTTATGCTCTCAGTACTGTAACACATACATGCACACTCTAACACAAGGCATGCTTTTTAAGAGTAAAAGAGTCTGCAACACACAGACACAGAGAAAGAGAGAGCACCATCCACGTTGCCCATCTCCTCTCCACTGCAGCAAGACTCAGCTCGGCACTGCGGGTGGCTGGCAGCCATAGCATGTCTCCTTCCTTTCCTAAGTGACCGCTTGGCTGGTCTGTTAAAAATGTGGAGAGCTAATGAAGACCACCTTCCCCTCCCAGAATCCTTCTGCCCTTGGACCTGAGTGTATGTCACACAACATGGCTGTCACTAGCAACCCACTATCAGACGAGAGTTGCATTAATGTAGTAATTTCTTATTATAATGTCAGCTGTGTTTGTTGTTCTGTGTTTGTTTCAACAGAGTACAATACAGAGACCAAGGAGGCTAGTCAAAAAAACACTTTGTGTGTATGAGTGTTTGGGGAGTTGTTGATGTAGACAGCTGTTGCTTCTTTGCTTCTTGCCGCAGCCACCTCAGAACCCTGGGGGTGGGTGGGTGGGTGTGGGGGGGATGCACAGAGAGTAAGCTGTGCAACAGGATCATGTCTGACACTTAGACACCGAGCTGGATAACCTTTCTGTAAACTCAGATCCGACGATAATAATAATCATAATAATACAGATAAATGACATGAAAAACCAACAGAAAACATTCTAATTAGATGTTTGGCCATCATGTGCCACCAGTACACCTTGGAGTTAATTCTCTAGAGTTCTAAACAAGAGTTAACACCATTCTTCCAAAGGATATCCAGAATTCTATTTATTTATTATTTCTTTTGGATGGTGGTGGTGCACGTTGTTCAACAAATATCTGAAAGATGTTCACTTTGGTTGAGATTTGGTGCAAAGGCCATAACGTGATGTTCATACTCCATCCAGTGACCCCTTGTGCAGATGAAGACATTGTTCATGTTCACTTATTTTTCAAATAGAACAGGTTCTGAGTAATACACCATTTTGTGTCAGTACAGTTAAAATTTGGAATAATGCGGTTTTGTAAACTTAATTGGTCAGTTTAATTTTCTATAGACTCAGCTGACTCACTTAACTGGCCCTTTGCAGTTACTCCTGTAGACCAATGTTTAAAATTACCTAAACTTCATCATAAACTTTTCAAGTTAACAGAATGATAATTTTAAAGATTACAGTTTCATTATCTGATTTATGTGCAGCTAAACATCTTTTTATAGATAGTAAATCATACTTCATGGGAACACAACACATCTGAGTTCTGTTTTCAGTATGGATCCTCTTGAGAAGCCAGTGCAGTGTGGTTCAGTGAGTGTTGGGTTGGTTATTACAGAGCCAAGACACCGGAGGCTAGAGCTGGATTAGCATTGCGCATCCCCTCTGCAACAAAGGCTGGGTGTCGATTGGTTTGCTGTTTCCAGTCAAGCTAACACGAGGGGCAAGCCCTCTGAGTCCTCTCATATTGAAACAGAGCAGTGTGAATCTCTAGCCTGTCGCTAACTGAACAGATCTATTTTTAAAAGCCCTCACTGCTCTCCCATCTCTCCCCACACTAGAGACTCTGGGAAAAGGGCTTTTTAGTGAAATCCAACCACCTGCCGACTGCTAAATGAGAAAGCGTGGGCTAGCCGAGAGGAAAAGGAGAGGAGGAGGGGGTGGTGTTGTCAAAGAGCCTCTGTTCTCCCTTAGGAGCTCAGTCAGCTGTAGGCCTGCCCTATTGTAGAGAGCTGATGGTATCGCTTGCCAGGTATTTCCCTCTGCTGTTCCACCCAGAAGAAGGGAGATTTGTTGGGGCTGGTGGACAAGGAGAGAGGAAGGAAAGTTGGAGAGAATCAAGTGTCAGTGTGCCTCCAGGCCTTGACTGCCCGTTAAACCAACCCGCTGGGATTGACCCAGCAGGAAATGGCAAAAGGTAGCCTTGGTCATCAGCAGGTCTCCTCCACAGAGCCGCTGTGGTCAGTAATAACACCAGTCTCCCTCTTCTCAAGATTTCAGTCGTTCTTGGCCTTGCAGTCCCCTCACACCCCCGTGGTTCCATTATTGCATTCCTTGTGCTATTTAATTTTAGGATCAGTGCACTCGAGGGGGTTGGCTCTTCTGAAGCTGTGCTCTGCTCTGCAGCGTGTGCAGTTTGAGCCGAGCACCACTTGTAACAATGCAGGTGCGTCCTGCCTCATGGATAACATTTGCCACCTGCAAGAGGGGCTGAAACAAACACTCTTCTTGATTTAAGAAGCCTGTCTTGTATAAAACATGTTCATATTCTTGCTGCGTTTAGCCAGTTTCATTCCATAGCACAGCCCTTCCCCCATCACTGTTTACTAAACACCAGCATATATGACTGTGTTCACAGTGTGACTTTTCCATTGTAGCTTGTCTCATAAAAGAAAGCTAAGCAGATATCACCTCACAACTCCCCCCTCCTTTCTGCTGGAATGCTGCAGCAAATTAAACAGCATCTTATTTGCTTGAGACAAGGAGAGCAGGACGCGCTCTTTTGCTGAGGCTAGGTGTGTTTTAGATTAGACATGCTTGGCAGTCATATGAGCATAGCTGGCTGAACAATGAGCTACAGCTGAGAAATTGCTGTAGTGTTGTGAGGTTATAGCAATGAATATGCTGGTGCTTGAAGTGGGTAGTGACAATGTAATTGGAGAAACAATGACCGCAAGGATCAGCTTTCAGTGAAGTGCTCGGGTTTGAGAAACTGCACTCTGGAGCTCCATGATTATCTCCCCGTGTCGAAGTATTGAACTTTCTCTTGCTCTCTATCTCTCTGGGTGGCATGGCGGTCAGCAGTGGGGTTGAGCCAAGTTAGAAGTTAAAGTTATGGCTGCTGTGGGAGTGAGAACACTCGTCTACAAAGGCCCTGCTGCACCGAAGGCTACACCCATCCAGCTAACACACACTTCAACCCCAAAAAAAACCCATCCCCCACTCAGACCCCCGCTATGGCTAAACCCCCTAGTCCCTCCCCTTTCCACTTCTCCACTTGAGCGAGGAGACCCACTTCCAAATGCACAAAACGGCAGGAATGTTTAACAAGCCAGGCAGACCCTGGAGGAACTGTGGCCGTGTGGCCCCCCAGCCCCCACCTCCCTCCCTGAGCTCTGCCGCCGCCTTTTTTGTTCAAACAGCAGAGACTATAACGTTAACTTGGTTTTAACTTTCACATTCACTGAGACTGGTGTTGTAGGTTCATTGAGAGAAATGCCCTTGAGGTAGTAGACTTTTTAGTGCCCAGGATGAATTCAAAATGTGCTTTTGACGTTCGAAGAATAGACTTGCTCGCTGGCTGTGAATGATTAAACTAGATCCCTTTCTCTCGCTTTTTTTTTTTCTTCTCCCCACCATGTATCTTTTTCTCTATGTCCATCTGTTCTTTACGCCTGTTGATGTACTCTGGGGTGTACACATGGAGATCTGGCCTCTCTAAATGAATGTGCTGTCGAGGTGAAGGGACACCGATCCCTAATTCCCCCAATTTGACTCCTCCAAAAAATGTCATCTCATTCAGATTAGTCTCTTTTGTTCTCTGCCCTCCCCCCACTCCCTCCCTCCTCCGCCTCTACTCGCTTCTCTCTGTCTCTCTCAACGCAGGCAAACACACACACACACAGTATGTCGCTCACAGATCACACAATAGCGCTGATGGATATTTTCATTCATGTTATCTTGTAAATGACTTCCAGGGATGGCGTAGAGGAGAGAGGGGAAAAGCGAGAAGTAGTGAGAGAGATATAATGCGTCACTCAGAGCCAGTGAGGGTGATAAACCCCCAACTCCCTCCCTCCCTCCCTCTCCTTCCCTTAGAACAGCTCATTCAGCCCACAGCAGATAACAAGCCCACCCTGGGGTTACACACACATACACAGAGCCTCTCAAAAAACAAAGCCCATGATGTCACAGATGCACTCATATACACCAGCCCCTCTACAAATGGTATCTTGGGTGTCAGAGCCATTTAATATCTTTGCCACCCCTCTTTTCCTCTGCACGCGGTAAGATAAACCACAGCCAGATCGATAACTCTGTTGACACAAGCATATAAATAACAGATGATGGCACCGTCAGACGCTGGAAAAAAAGCTAGCCACACATCTTTTTGTTAGGGAAAGTGTGGCTCAATCCTTCTGTACAGAATAGCGCAGCGTGTGTTTGGGTGGAGGGAGCACCAGCAGACTGTGTTGTCAGTGTAAATCCTACCTGTGGCCTTTGTTCTTTTGAATCCAACCTTGCAGAGCTATGAGATAGTAGCGCTTCCCATTTTCATGGCATTGTGTATGTGTGAATGTTGGCAAGAACGCTACGCTCTGTCACACCAAACTCAAGTCAAAACCAGCCCTGAGCATATTAAATAAAACTTGTAGCGTTGCTTCCATCTGAAAAGAATGTCCGGTTTCATTGTGTCTGATCTCATTTTCAATCAATCGAGAATTACTAGCCTGTCATTGTTTTGCCTCTTGATCAAGTAAAAGCTGTTTTTATGGTTATTTAATCCGTAAAATATTATGCTCAGTTTGATCACAATCTCTGTTTTGTGTTTCAACTAAGAGCCAAGGTGAATAGGAGACTATTATGCTAATTTGACTTTTGTAAATTCAGATCTCTTCTGTAATAATTCTAACCCTTGGCTGTGTCTCAAAGTGCTGTACTGGGCTTAGCGGTCCCCATTATCCACCTCCTCCTCCTCTTCCACCTCCTCCTCTCCTTGACAGAAGTGGTTGTGTGTTTTTTTGTCCTCTGCAGTGTGAATGTTTTTGTTAAGGAGATGAGGGTTCATGACCTGGCCATACCACCAGTCACAATTAAACAGCAGAGTCGGCCTGGGCCACCTTCCTCACACACATTATCAGAGGGTTGCATTTAGCACTCGAGAGGGGTTATGTCATTTGGCAACATGCTAAAACATGAATGAGAAATTCTTGTTTTCCTGCTTAGCTAACCCAAAGCTAACTGGATATTTATCTATATACTGTAGGTGCGATGACAGAAGTTGTCATTTTATAGGAAGGGGTTAAAGTGATGACTGCAGGGTGGGTTGGGGTTAAAGCTAGTATTGCTCACTGGTGTATAAAAGGAGTGGAACAATAACATAATTCCCCTTGGGCGTAATGTTTGCTTTGGAAAGGCAACCTTGTAGCGTTCCAAAAGTCCTTAATCCTATTACTCGCATTCCAATTGAATTTGACTCAAGGAGAAAAATATCTTTTCAGCAGAGGTAACAGCTCACAAAATAATGTATTACTGAGTCTGTCTGCAGAAAAACATGAAAGAGTGAACACCTTCAAACTCACAATTTTCTTCCCTCCCCTCTTCTCATTTGCAGATTGTGTGTACATTGAGAGTCGGCGGCCCAACACACCCTACTTCATTTGTAGCATTCAGGATTTCAAGCTGGTGAGTACATTTTCATTAGTGTCTGTGCTGTTTCATGTCCCTGTGTCCTCATAATGGCCTGAGGTTTATCACCCACCCACACTGTGTCTCATGCTGAAAAACAAATGACTGGTTCCCTAGTGAGGAGCAAATCCAGAGGAAATCTGAGCTGTGATGGCGGCTGCACAATTAGGTGACGCAGGTGCTGAGTTGCACATTTTTATGTTTTAACAGTCTGATGAGAATTGAAAACAAATCATAGTGAAATATGATTTTAAAAGAGTTCACAGTTTTTAACGGATTTATGTGGAAAAATACTAATCTCTCTGAGAATCAGGCTTGAATATTAACCACCTTTGTGATCTACTGGCAGTGTAATAGTGGTTGTAATAGAAACATAGATGTTTGTTGATGCACTTAATTGATTTAATGAAGGAGACTTTCACCAGTTTTCAATTGATTTTTTTTACAACCTAATGTGGTCAAATTGCCTCTTTTGCTGAATAAAGAAAGAAATTAGTTTTTAATTTGCTACTGAGGACGGCTGATTCATCAGGCTCAGTCGGTTTAGCGAGGTGGTGCCCCCCCCGTTGACTGTCCAGTCTCTCTGAATTATCTTAGTTCACCCAACAGCTACGTCTTTGTTCTTGCTGTTGAAAAGGTTGTAGAATGGTTTAGGATATGTGCTTTGTTCCTTCACAGTTGTCGACTCTAACGACACACAGCATGATTTTAGAATATAGAATTTAAATCCTGAAATTATAACAGCTGCATGCAAAACATTCAGAATATATCTTTAAAGTAACATATAATCTGGGAGTGCTGTACCATCATGATGTGGGTCTTTAGTTATGTTGTTGTTATAATAGTTGGGTCCATGTGGAGTTTATCTTGGAGGTCATTCCACTCAAACAAATGTTTCTGTTGGCTGAGGAAATTTACCAGTTTTAAATTGATAATGCAGCCAAAGGCAATTGTTTTTAATTGGTCCCTTGTATGTTTTCCTTCTGCCATCAATGGAGAGTTGAACACATTTAGGTGCAAGTCGTGTGACTACCGTTTAATGGGTAAATCCTACTGGAATATAATAGATGGGTCTATGGTGCCAAACAAGGAGGCATCCAAGCCTGCTGAGCCTACCTTGCTCGTCTTTTAACAGATTGGTTGTCTAAGCATATAGTGCAGAGGGCTCAGTAAGGGGCGGCCAGGCCCCAGGGGGCCACGGTAATGCCTGCCGACAGCCAGGGTGATGATGGGAGGTCAGCTCAGAGGCCACACACCACTTTTGAAAGAGGTGGTATATTGTGTGTATGTACATGTCTGTGTGCATACGTGTCAGTTCAGGATATTGATCATGTGTGAATACTTCAGAGTGTGTGAAGAAAGGTTTTTAAGGTGAGCCCTGCAGAGGGGAGGACAGGGCGGCCCCACAGCAGCAGGGCTTTAATCGGATTGCAATTGGAGAGTGCTGAGGATAGCAGGAACCCCTCCCTGAGCTCACACATGCGCACACACACACCCTCACACAAAAACCCACGCACCTGCACCTTGATTAAGAGCGCCAGAAGAGGTCTGGAGCAGACTGAGGTAATTGTCCTGGGAGGGAGAGGGAGAATACTGGCTCCATTAGCTGACCTCTATCTCTCTTTTCTCTTTCTCTCTCTCTCTCTCTCTCTCTCTCTCTCTCTCCGTCTCTCGCTCTCTGTTACTCCCTCCCCCCCATCCATCTGTAATTAATGAACAGCCATCTGCATGCCTGTATGTGTATGAGCAGGCTGTACCCTTGTCGTCCTATGTTAAAACAACAAGTCCCGCTGGCTCTCCAAACAAGTACACTGTTTTTCAATGAGCCCACTTTGTCGCCAGGCTACAAATCACAAAAGACTGGCACTGTAATCTCTATTTACTAGACCAGCGCAGAATCCTCTCTCAGAATGATAGCTGTATTAGGTTGTAATAGCACATGTTGATGTAAACTTCCATCTAGTCTCCGAGCCTCGAATCTACTCCGTCACCCTGCGCTCAAAACTGGGACACGCACTTGTGCCACTGGGAGAAAGAAAATATTCATCCACTCATTCTGCTCTTTTGTTGAACAACATAGTGGTTGGCGTAATCGCATTTGCCTCTCTTGCCGCAATATATTGTAAAGCACAGGCAGCAGGCAACTTGAGGTCCATGTAAGTGAACAAGGCATTAGACATCAAGTCATTCTCTTTATTTCCTATCCTCTCATCTCTCCCTGCGTCTGTGTCCGACCCCCACTTTTTCTTCCTGTGCAAATTATCGATCACCCCCCCTCCTCTCTGTGTAGGGGAACAGGGCTTTGGAAACAGCAGAGGGGGAGGAAATATCATTGGTCCTAAACCAAACAACCTTATCAATATTGCCCCTCTCACACCCTTCTCCTTTCCCGTGTCTCGCTCTCCTCCCTCAATCTTTAGACTGTAACAGTCTCACTCTGTACTTTATCTAATGACCTGCGAATCCAATTAGTGGTGTGTAGAAATCCTGAATGCAGCCATCAATCTCTACTGCGGTGGGAAGAACAAGGATTGAAACCGGCCACTCTGCCTCTGTACATCTGTCCCTCACTGTGTCTCTTCTCCATGTTGGGACGATTGTTTGTTTGTGTGATTATTTTGCATTTGTAATACCGCATGCAAATGAAATCTATTTTCTAGTATTATGGGGGTCATTCACGACTTGGGAGAAAATCGTTTTCCTTAGTGTTTCCTCAACAGTGGCAGCTGTGGTGCCCAATGTAACCTCTGTGACTTATTGATCCAGCACAGATTTCAGTCTCCCGCCTTCCTCCTAAAATGTCTGCCCAGATACAGGGGTGACCAGTAGGAGGCCATTTTAGTTGTTAGCAAAATCAGAGGTGGAATAAAGACATCAAAACGCTTTATCAAATCATTACTTCTCTTACATGGCCATGTTGAGATTATTAGAAAAGGAGAACAAATTATTAAAAAAATTA